TCAGATGTCTCTAGTTGCATATGACATTGCAATTAATTACTCTCCAGATCAGTGGACAAATGCATTCTTTTCTGAAATTAGGTACTACCATCAATCATTATGATATTTTATAGTAGATGTTAATTTTCACTCATATATAGTACTTTTCGTGCATAGATGTTAACTATCAGCGGTACATGTTAACTTGTGTACGTGTGAAGTTTCAGTGGTATATGTTAACTTTCACTATTAACTGTTAGATTTTATAGCTCATTGTTAACGTTTTTATATATTGTAAGATGTATACTTATACAAGTTATTGTTTTGATGTTTGCAGATATAGTATATAACCCCTAATGTCGCAGAGTCCTTTAATAACTGGATACATGAAGCTCGATTGTTACGTGTACTATAAATGATGAAGCATATAAGAAAATAAATAATGGTTTGCATGGGCAACAGACACATAATTAGAGTTGTTCATTTGGGCCAGGGCCCGAGCTGTCTTAGTGAAGGTCACCCCCCCGCCCAGGGCCCGGACCGAATATATATATATATATATATATTCATATATATATATATATATATATATATATATATATCACTATATAGTATATATTTATGTGGTTGTGTGTTGTGTGCTGGTGTGTTGTGTGTGTTATACCATATATTTACTGTGCTGTATATTATAGAATTATAGTTATAATAAGTATCTATAAGCTGCATAAAGTATAATAGTATATAAGTGTATCTGATCTGGTACCCAATAAAAAAGTATATCATATAAGAAAAAATGTATAACTATACTTAAATAAGCATAATGTAATATGTAATAAATACAATAATATCATATATATTTATGTGATCTCTCTCTCTCTCTCTCTCTCTCTCAAGTTATAACTTATAAGTATATACAATATATTTACATATAATATATGTATATATAATATATAGATGTGTGTAGTTATATACTCTCTCTCTCATGTTATAACTTATAAGTATATACAATATATTTATATATAATATACTTATATAACAGTTATATAGGTATATTGTATAATTTCATAAGTGTAATAATATATAAGTATATTGCATCTAGTATATAATAAAAGTATATCATATAAGTAAATTATATAATTATACTTAAGTAAGCATAATGTAAGTATGTAACAAATACAGTGTGTGTGTGTAACAAATACAGTGTGTGTGTGTGTATGTGTATTATAGAATAACAGTTATATAAGTATATTGTATAATTTCATAAGTATAATAATATATAAGTACATTGCATCTAGTATATAATAAAAATATATCATATAAGTAAATTATATAATTATACTTAAATAAGCATAATGTAAGTATGTAACAAATACATATATAACTATATAATACATATTTATAAATAAGTAATATATACTTATGTGATTCTCTCTCTCTCTCTCTCAAGTTTTAACTTATAAGTATTACAATATATTTATATATAATATATGTATATATAATATATAGTTATATAATAATTTGTAAGTATATACAAATACATACTTATATAAATATAATAAGATTAAACTATTTTTTATCAATTTTTTTTACTCAAAAAAAAAAGGAAAAATGAAAATTACGGCCTGGCCCGGTGCCTGGCCCCGCATCGGGCCATCGGCGCAAGCGGGCCTGGGTCTGGCTAACGGGTTTGGCCCGGCCGCGGGCCCAGTTTTCCTAACCAGGGGCAGGCCGGGCCGGTCGTTTGGACAGGCATGCACATAATGGCTAAAAAATGATATGTTATCTTTGTCCTAAAGTTGAGAAGGTCCTTAAAGAATATATGGAAAAAGAATGCACTTTGGATGTTAAACAATCCAGAGATAAAATATTTGAAGTGCAATCACATAGAATTACACATTTTGATTTGAAGAAGAAGATATGTACTTGCCGAGCTTAGGACGTAACGCGTATTCCATGTAAGCATGCTTGTGCAGTCATTATTTATATAAAGAGAGATGTATACCAATATTGTGATTGGTTTATGTCCGTAAAAGCATTTAAAAAAAGCTATGTATTTTACCCATCCTAGATTATGAGTAGCGAAGTGTGCCAAAAGATAAAATCAAGATATTGCAACCATAATTACTAAAAGGAAGGGAAGAAATAGAACTAGACATATAAACAACAGAACTATTTACAAACGTCCAATGAAATGTTCTCGATGCAAACTGAGGGTCACAATCGAGCTACTTGCAACGAGCCAATTGGTGATTAGTGTGGATTGCTTATTAGTATAATATTTTTATAGAGCAATGTAGGTTGTCAAGACTTTTATAGTATATTGTGGAAGGCTTTTGTAATGTATTCAAACAATATCAACTTTAAGAATGTAAGAGTTTCAGTATAATGTACTTGTTTCACTGAAGTTTTCTATTTGTGTTGTCTGTTAACTATCTTGGTATTATGTTAACTTTCAGCTTAAATTGTTAACTTTTAGGGTTTTTTGTTAACTTTCGCAAAAAAACTGTTAACTTTGGGAGTTACTAGTTAATTATATGTGATATCAACAACAAACGTATGAGTCTTTTGGTGAGAAAAACCTATCCAATATTATTGATTAATATAGATTGCTACGAGTAATAATGCTTTTGGTAAAACAACATAGTTCATGTATTCAATCAATTGTGAATAATAATTCAGCTAGGAATAATAAGACTATCCAATCTTATTGATTAACTCCCCATCAATTGGTAATCCCGTATGATCTTGCATCTCCTCATCAAAGCTAACTGACATTATCGTCCCGATTTTAGAATTGTGGAAAAAGAATTCATCCTGTTTGCCAACATAATGATTCAACATATGCTCTAGTGTTGGTCGATCAACTGCTAGAGGTCCAAATAAGATATAGTGCTCAAAATTACTGCCCTTATAGGCATCCTAATGCCACTTCCTCATTATTGGTTTAAGATTTTTTTATGAATATGTAGTATGTTCCAAAACTTACTGTAGGCCTGATATCACCTATAACTGCATTAATTTTACTACATAAACAAATATTTACTCTTAACAAATCATTAAAATTCTTAATATCCATTACACTAATTAACATCAATGGTAAATATTAGCATCAGAGGTCAACACTTAACAACCTTTTGTAAAAGTTAACACTTACGGATGAAAGTTAACAACACTCCATAAAAGTTAACATCTGTTCACAAAAGTTAACATTCTTTTATGAAATTTAATATCTAATGATGAAACTTGTATGTGTCAAAGTTAACATCAGTTATTTACTTTTTCATGTAATACTATCATTTAAACAAAAAATTCATAGGCTATGATTATACTTCTCAATATATAATACATGTCAAATCCAATTACAACATTCACTTACTTTTCATAATAGTTGAAAGTGATTGTACATTGTACATGCTTCATACATGATAATATAACACAATGAACTAGATTCCAAACAATGAGTCTATATGTCATACAATAAGTCTGTACTTCATACATAATAATTTCACTCAGATTAAGATTAAAAATTTACAAACAAGGTCCAAAGTTATATCCACTTTTATTACCAATGAATTGAATATTAAACTTCAATAGTTATGGCATTAGCCTAGCAACGAATGATTATTACTAACATGAATTGTAAATAGTTAACAGTTAAGGCGTAACTTAGTAAAAATCTAACATGTATGGCTAATAATTGATACTTAAGGCTAAACTTAACAATGAATGAGAATTATTGACATGTATTGCTAATAGCTAACAACAAATGAGTATTTTTTTACATACATTACTTCATAACGATTATACTTCATATTGTTAAGATCATACTCTCAAATTAATAAACTTGTTATATGCTACAATAACCAGTTTTTTACCATCATTTTTTCACAAATAGACCCCATAAATCTCAATCGCCCATAAATCTCAATCGCATTTCAAACAAGTAAAATGTTCAACTTTCTTCCTTTTTTTTTCCCCGCTCAAATTTTCAACTAGCATCCAACACCATAATTTTACAAAATATTTATAACTAAAATTAACTAAATTCATAACCAAAATTTTTGAAGTTAATTGGAAACTTACTTCTTATAAATGGGCACATCCTTTGTTGAACGTCTTCTCTTGCATTCTAGAAATTCTCATCCCCTTTTCATGCGCAACGTGACCACCATCGCCTCGTTATTGTCCTCATCCTCAAAGGACGCCAAAGAAGAATCGTTGGAGGGGGATAAGGATGCAGAGACGGAGGTGGATGATTCTCACGTAGCCTCCTTCATCAACCGAGCCGAGCAACGCCGACGATGAATCACTTCGAATTGAGTGTTGTCTCCTTCACCCTTCTCCACAGTAGGGTTCTCGACCATTTTTCCTTACTTTTTTACAAAAAATATTAATAGATTTTATAGACGTTTGAGTAAAAACTAGGGTTTTCAATTTGGGTTCTCCAATTTACCAGGGTTTGAGCGAGAGAATGGTGGGTGGGGGGGAAGAGAGAGAGAGAGAGAGAGAGAGAGGAGAGAGAGAGAGAGAGAGAGCAGGGCAATTTTGGGGGGAATGGGTTAAGAGATAAAATTGGGTTTTTGCAAAAAAAATCTCTCTGTGCTAACTTGGAAGAGTATATAAGGGCTCAAACACAATTATTTGACTGCAGTGACGTGCTATTTTTTTAAGCATTCTGAATGGAGGACAATGGAAAACATTAAAGTCAGGAACACGTTATATTAAATTCTGAATGGAAAATATTAAAATCACGTGCTATTTTAGGGTGTTTAAACGCAAATTAGCCTGGAGCAGTTCTCTTTCCCCCGCCGGTGTTCGGTCGCAGCAAAATGTCAAATGATAAATGAGCCAACAATCAGAAACAATGTTAAATGTTAAAAATCAAAAGGTGCCTCACCAATTAGCCTACAATGATACGTTAACAAGGCAAATGTTCTACCTCCACGAATAGCACCTGATTTAGGCAACCGAATATAAAGGAAGTGAGTAAATAATGCGCATAATAATAATAATAATAATAATAATAATAATTTTACACAACACATTTTCATTCTTAAACTGTCATTCCTACTAAGTCCTAGCCATGTAAAAATGAAGCATTGGCCAATGACCTGCAGAGATCAAAAGACCACCACTTCAGACATCACACATACGTGTCCCAGCATTCCTTCAAAAAGTTCACACAGTTACAGAGTTTCCCTTGGTCCTTTTTCCAACAACATCACTTAAAATCTCTCGACAACTTCAAACTCTACAACAAACTAGAAACACAACCCCCCACAATTCAACATCCACAAACAAGCCATTTTCTAAGACAGTCATATATCTGGTCGTAACCAAAAACAAACAACTAGCTATAAGGAACATCATCAAATCCCAGTCTTCAACGGCCTCTCCCTCTCCCGCCAAAAGAATTTGACCTCGATTGTGAATTCCCACCGCCCGAAGTAGTATTTGGCTGCCCCGTTGAGGGAAGCGCCCACCCACTCTGCAGCTGGTCACCATGCCTGCCACCTGTCCTTACACCTGCTGTGAAAGTAACATCAATACTCATGACACAGATAAATAACGAATATGTCGAAACATAAATAAAACCACCACAAGACAAAATTTGCATGGATAAATCAATAAACCAGATTTGACAAACAAAATCAAGGTACGCCTGCATGCAACCAAACTGAAAATTCCACCTATATCTTATGTTTGCTATAAGGAAGCCAACAACAAAGAGCCAGGCTTTATACCTCAGCTGCATGTGCATGAATCCTATTCTTCCATTCTACATGAATCCTATTCTTCCATTAAATTGCCATTAAATTGCTGAGGGCCATCTCCTCCTCCATCTCACACGAATCTTCTCATTTTATCCTCCATGGGAGGACCTCCAACTTCCATCTTAACATTCTTATTTACGCTACTCACATTTTCTGCACATGCCGTTCATGATTTGGGCAAACACTTAAAAACAACTAAAATTGCAGGAGGGTCCTGTAGAAACCACATAGGCAGAGATATACAATGCCATCATATGACATGGATATGCAGATACAACAAATATTGACAATCTACATGGCAAACACCAAGTCAAGATCCTCCTATGAAAAAATAATAGGTATAGCAAGTCAATACCATGCGTTTTGTCATTTAAGGCACAGGTGCCACTTTGCTCTTTTTGGAAGTGTTGTTGAAGGCCCTTGCCCTCATTGTAGGAATGTGGAAGTTTTCTAGTTGAAAGCCACAGGGATGACATGTATTGATTATTGTTTAGAAGATATAAATGGTCAGGCAAACTTAAGTTACTGATCATGTTTAGTGTTATAAAGACAAATGGTCTGACACATATATGTTATCATATCATGTCCACTGTTTTGATGATATCAGTGCTCTGGCCACTGTTTTAAAAAACCTGCGCCTAGTCCGCTTAGGCATACGCCTAGGCTTAGGCGATACCTAGGCCGCCTAAGTCCTAACTAACGCCTAGCGCCTTGGCGGGTATTTAGGCTGCCCACCTAGATTTTACGAGCGTTTATAGGAGCATTGTCTGCTTACGTGGATTGCACCTTGTAGGCCTTGATTGTGATTTTACGTGTCGTAGCCTACACGTCCTCCAAACTCCATTAACCTCCAAATATGAACACCTCCACTACCTCCTCCGACCTTCAACAAAACCTCATCGACCACTACCCAAATGAAGAAAGAAAAAAAACGCCCAGAAACCGCTTAGGTGTCCGCCTAGGCGACTAAGCGCTGGGCGCCAAGTCCGACGCCTAGAAGCGCCCAACGTGTAATGTAACATTGGCTCTGGCACACTTAATCCACTGATCGACTCTCATTTATGTTATCAATGCTCTGGCACAGTAAATCCACTTATCCAATCTCCCCCAAATACTGATCTGAAAGTCTTTTGTAGTACAAAGGGACGAAAAATATATCATGCATCTTTGTCGGTGGTTTTTGGTATCACGTCGTTTGTAGAACAGAAAAAGGCACATGAGGTGTTGCTGTACTGGTCAAAGTAGGGAGTTTTCCACGGATAGAAAGATAGAGCATTGTCAACTATCCTTCTGAAATATGCATGCAATTAGAAGTCGAGAGAAGTAACAGGTCCAGGAATGTGAATTGCATGCCTTTGGATATAAAGAACAACCCAAATTCAACTCTCCTCTTGTCACATTTACCATGTGAAAATTAGCGAAAATTAGGATACTATTCACCAACCAACCATCCCTACCATTACACCAACCCACTTGTATTCCACACTAGGCTATTTCAGACCAAGACGGATTCATCATAAGAAAAGCCTATAGTTTCAGGATGAACAGGAGGAACGGAAGCAAAGAGACAAAGCCAAGACGAAGAGCGAGTTCTGAGTTTTTTTTAACATCATGTGGTTCACACAAAATTCACATGCGCCTTTCTCTCTGTGTAAATGAGTAACGCAGTCTACTTGCTCGGTGTGGAGGTGAACCAAGAGTGGAAACTGAATAGAATGTGAAAAACTCTTTTCATTTAAAATAGAGAGAGCAAGCTTCCCCACTCCCACCAAATTTTAAAGAAGTCCGACCCATTCTGCCTAGCATATCCACTAAGAACACCGAGTCAGACGATGATGAAGCTTTCCACGACTCTCAAAGACCCAGAAAATTAATTTGATACAATAGAAAGAGTTTTCCTATCTCTCAATTGATATCTTTGACTATTAATTTAGACTTCTCTCGCATTGAATCACAACAAGCGGAAGCTGCAACCACCCCAATACCTCCAAGCACTTCAAAGACTCGGTGCATCCCCGCACATACCAATGAATGGATTCCATCAATTGCAAAATCTTTTATTTTCCTTGCAAACAATTGAGCAAGGAGATCATCGGGCTGTAATTGCAACTTCTGCAGTGGGCTTGAGTGAGATTAGAAAATAGTTCTCTTTAGTTATGATTACCTCTTTTCATTAGTGAATTCCTCTTGCTATCTTCCCCTATAGCCATAGGCCAAAATACTAGCCAGTTCACATTAATCCTTTATTTGTTGTTCTATTTGTCTCTACTTCTACATTAATCATTCTCTCTCCTTGCATAAACATCTTTAGCAGAGTTGCCCACCGCTGCAACAAATGGGTACTAGACTAGAGTTAATAGTTTCATTCTTATTGTGGACTTCTGGATGTCTTCTTTGATATACATCTTAGCTCTCCTCTCTTTTTCTTCGCCAATATACATCTTAGCTCTCATCTTTTTCCCCTTAGCTTCCTCACTTCACTTCCACATGTTTCTTCTACACTTTCATCTTCACAACCACCCCATTCGTACATGAATCTTAATAGTGTGGAATAGACAAATAAGTCAGAGTACTAGCAAAGTTAACCGACTGGTTGAGTAGTACCCTAATTTTCACTCATTGTCACATAATAAACGTGATAAGAGGATAATTCAAGTCGATTGTTTCTTCATGTTCAAGTTATCTTTCAAAATATGCACTTTCAATTGAATACAATAAATCTTCTCCTCATTCTCATCTCTTTACAAATGCCTAACAGGTTTACCCACCTAATTTCCAACTAGCCTCAGGTCGAGTTTATCTCCATTTGCATCCAAACATTGCAACTTAATGACTAATGGAGATTGTGTTTCAACTAAACACTTCACATACGAATAGATTCACAATACAACTAACCATGAGCTGTGTGACAACATGTGCATGGTGCACTCAAGTACAATCTAGTTCAACGTCCAAATATCGCAAACTTAGTGACTAATGGAGATTGTGTCTTAACACTTCACAGATTCGCACCATCGCAAACGTAGTGACTAATGGAGATTGTGTCTCCACACTTCACAGATAGTCGCATGACAACTAAGTGTAACCACATGTGCACAATGGTCTAAATATCGTAACTTATATCGCAACTTAGTGACTAATGAAGATCCTCTCAACTAAACACTTCACAAACGAACAGAGTTACCCCATAACCATAACTAAGTATGGTGGCATATAATTTTACAAACGCTCAATATTAGCTCTAACCCATGCAATACAATCTCGAAGCAAACAGATCTACAGATAAATTTGTATAAAATTGTTTCTCTCATCAAAATTCTCGACCTTATACTTTAACATAGGCATCTCGATGCCCACAATAAGAAATGATATCAAAGCTCCTTTGTTGCATCTGTGGGCAAACAAAAGATGTTCATACAAAGTAGGGAGATTACAAAACTAAATGTAGACAACATAAACTGAAAGAACACAAAGGGATTCAATCTGGTCCAGTCATTATTTTAGAAATGGAGATAATATTATTATCTTCAACTCAACAAATTAACCAACGCATGGCACCTCAACCGTCAACTTTGTCAAGGTTGATAATAGCAGTCTCAAATGATGCTCATAGATGTCTAATTTTCTATCGAATTATGAAACACCACTACAGGTGGTATGATAAGTGCTGATTGGGTATTTCAAAAAATCAAGTTGACTTAATTATGCCGTAAATGTAAGTCTTCAAGGTCTACCATTAAAGAAGAAGCCAAAAGTAAATAAGTTCTATAGAAAAAACATAGAGAGAAATTCTAGGTTGGGTTCAATAAGGATCTTCTAGTGGGATTGAGAGATAGTATCTTACAGATTCCTTGAGGAACACAAGAAAGATCGGATCATGTATGATCACTGAAAAAAAGAAAAATCAAATCTCTCCCTATAGATGTAGGCAATTGCAATAGTTCGTAATCTTGTGCCTCTGCATCACATTTACTTTTCTAAGTGATTAATGTGTTCTCTCTTTGTTTGATCTTGCTTTACTCATTTTCAATATAGCAAATGCAGATTGTTTGTCCTGGTTAGAAGGAGAAGATCCAGTTCGGTAGACTTAGACGAGGGTTGACCTGGAGATGAAGCTTCGCAAATCATGGGTTGGTTGCACGCCAATCGATATCAGAGTTAATTCTTACATCAATTGGAAGCAAGAATAAAATATTTCTAAGGAAAAAAATGCGTAAAAGCTCGGAAGCGTAATAACACAAATGATAGTTTCATTATTGCTACCATACTTGTACCTAGATGCTGGGATATCTATTGTCCACATTAGAGCTGGGACATCCACTGTCTACACTAAAAGGGTGTAAAATGGCGAGTGCAACTGTTGCTATGATAGCTCTCCTTCGGATATTAGAGGAAGAGAATGGGACATTTACATAAGTGTAGAAGGACATTTAAGGAAGTAGGAAAAAAGCACTAGCATACACACCCAATAGGTTTTGCATCTACCTTCCCAAAAAAAAAGAACGGGAAGGGAAGATTGTTCCTAAAAAGAGGCAATCACAAGTCAATTTTCTTTATTTTTGTCAATGCCGACAGTAGGAAATGAAAACACCAGACTATCCACATCAAACCCTAACATACCTGCTCCACCGAGATTACACACAAAATAATTATTGCAAAAAGCAAGTGCTTGTTAATTTGTTTGAATCAGTTACTTACTAGTATTACTGTTATCAAGCATGTCATAGCCCTGGTTCCATCCAGGCAAGTGTTGCCTTGCTTTCCCCTTCCATGTTTCATCAAAGCCAACCAACTCATCTGGGAAACCACAATATGGAACATGTTACAATAAGCAAGTGAATAAAAAATTGGCATATCCTCTCTATTTCCAAGATGAACCTTCATGCAAGTTATGTAGCGTCTGTAAAGAATCAACACGACCATCAGAATTCAATTTCCTCATTAGTGTATGACCCTGCAAACAAATGCACATCGAAGTTAACATCCTAAAACTCATCACTCACATCCAGATGCTTCAATGACACTTCAAATGTGTATCACTTAAGTAGCAGCAGCAGTGGTAAACCATAGCCAAGTACCTTGTCATGAATTCCTCTAGAGACCCTGTGTGCGGCTTTACCAGTAGTTGAGTCAGCTTCCTTACTCTCCTCCATCACAACCTAAACAAAAGTAACATTGATTAGAACCCATATGAATAAGGCAAATTTTTAACACCCGATATACTTACTCCATCACCACCCATTCTCCTTGTTGTAGATGCAGTATAGTATGGTCCACTGTGACCACCATAAGTCACACTTGAGCTCTGAAAACTGTAAGTCTGAGCCTGTGGACGCATTGCACCAGTCCTATCGAATTCACTTCTATGTTGCACACTTCGACTTTTCTTCTCTGCAGAAGAAATTAAACCCACTTCCTCAGATTAGTATGACAACTGACAAAAATAACTAATCCTTACAGTTACAAGGGCTTTATAAGACCTTCAACTTCTTCATCTGGGTCCTGGACATATGGCTCTTTGCTCGACCTAGAATGCTTTCTCGGGTTTTCTTTCTTCTCATTTACAGTCTTCTTTCCCCCATTTTCATCTTCTTCATCATCATCAGATGATATCTCTTTAATAATGGGCCCTTTGGATCTAGCAGGGGGTGCAGGAGCTTGCTGCTCCAAGAATCCAGCATTATTATTAGTTTCTTCGAAAATGCTTCCTCTGGAACCAAAGATGCTAGGTCCAAACATACTTGGCCCCATCATGCTAGGACCCATCATGCTTCCAAAAGGCTGAGTGAAGAAAGGATCATCAAAAGGGTCCCTCCCACCGAAAAAATTTGATATTAGGCTTTGAGGTCTTCCCCCAAAGCCAGGAAACCCTGCAAACAGGTCCCCAAATCCACCATAAAAGTCATCCCTTCCACCCCTACCCCTCTGCATTTTCTCACGAAAAATTCCACCAATTAAACTGCAAAACAGGGGGGAATGATATTTAGTTCTTTTAACACACAAATAACACCTATAACAGGAAACATAGGTTACAAACCAATTCAGTGAAAAGACTTGCTCTCAATTCCAAAACAAACCAAAGTTGGCCGAGATTTTACTTCTAAAATTTGAAGTTGATATTCACCAAGATATACTGATATAGGATATCTACCAAAAGATATCTACTTTAGTACTTTTGACCAAAAAAATGAACACAAGAACAGCAATATCATGCATACTGCCATTATCCATTGTATTAATATTAATATTATTAATTTTAGGAACATGACAAAAATTTCGCTATTTTTTAAGGAAAAAATTCAATCTAAATCCACAGCTATGGAGCTTGCACATGAATCAAATTTCCAATCCTTCAAAAGTTCACCATAAGACAAGAAGAAAATTTCTAATCTCAATCCCACTGCAAACTAAGTACTTGACATTATTAATCATATTTTTTTATCTCCACAAGCTTCCATAAGTGTTGACTTAATTTCTTACAGATTAAGGATCTTCTATAAAACAAAATAAGGAGAAATGTTTCAAAATAGATCCATTTACACCAATATTCCCCAAAATCAACTCATTTCAAATTCATTTACAAAAAACAACCAAATTTCAGCCACATCAGTAGCGCGGGTTGAAACTGGGTTGATTTAAAAAAAAACACTTCTTTTTAATTAGTCGAGGTTGCCGACCCCAACTAATTAGACGTTAATTTAATTACATGAGTTAGTAGTGGGGGCTAAAACTGCAATCCAAAATAGTCGTGCTTGTCAAACCCGACTATTTGGAAAGTTAATTAACCAGGTTACTAATTAGTCGGGGTTGGCAACCTTACAAAGAAATGTTTTGACCTAATTAAAGCCGGGTGGATTTTTGTGAATATGTTTGAAATGGGTCAATTTTGGAGAACTAATATATAAACGGGCTTGTTTTGAAAATTTCTACAAGAAAATAAAGTTCAAATCTTAACCATTCGCTCAACCTGATGATTAAAAATCCACAAATTCATAAACCTGCCCACTTATGAACCCAATCACCAAAACTGAACCATGGAAACAGCACAGAGTGATGAGTTTTCTAATCCATAATACAAATCTCTGAGAGATGATTCAGTGGAATGTTCCCAAATTCCATCATAATAACCTTATAATTCATAAATTGTAACAAGTTACCACAAATTCAAACGAAGCATCACCAATTCCTACGAAACAGCAAAGATACATGCAGCCCCAATCAAATATATATAGGATGCTCTCTTTAATGAAAACTGTCACTGTTGGACAAACAGATTCAGAAATTTCATCGGCACTAAGATCCTCAAATTTATAAAATAAAATAAAAAATATATAACAAAAAAGAGACCCAAACGCAGGGCTTTATCTCCAAGCAATCAAAAATTCCAGAAAAGAAACCCTAATCCTGTCCTAAACTACAGCAGTCACCTCAATTTCCCCCAAAAAATTATAAGCTCAATGGATAAATTCACCCAAATTCATGCACGAAAGCAAAAAGGGAATGAAGAAAAATAACCTTAAAATGGAATTTCAATGAAATTAGATGCGGTTGAGTCCCACCTTTTTTGATCTCGAAATTGGGGATAGAAGAAGAAATGGGGAAAAAATGATGAACCTCAATTTGGGTTTGGGGGGTTATATAGAAGATTCTCGTAGGAGACCGAACCGACTTCTCTAGAAATCCCCCGCTACGTGTCAACGGCCCGTGGCCCGACGGCGAATCAAATTTAGGAAAATTGCTTTCCAGCCCTCCATTCAGGATTTTTGTTATTTTATAGGCACGCTGTGTTTTATGCCGACGCTTAAACGTCGGGAGTTCGAAAAATAGGGAAAGGCATATTTTTTAATGGCGTGAAATTTCTGAAAATCTTATGAGCGTTGGGGGTTTGTAAAAAAAAAAATCTGATATTTTCAAATTCTACAAATTTATCTGAGCCTACGGGAAAATTTTGTAGATGATAATAAAAATAATGAATGATAACAAAATTGACATGTTAATCTTAAACGAAGATCATTTATGTGGAAGAACAAGACAGAAAAAATGGTTCATTTTTTTTTTACTTACAAATTTGATAGACTTATTTTTTGTATCCAAAAATGAAACAAACTATCACATGCCATCTTCATTTATTTGAAATCTACTTTAAATTTTTTTTATTTATTAATATAACACCCTAACAGAGGGGACACTGCATTTCATAATAGATCTCATATTTTAATAATAAAACACTTCCTCGCATCAGATCCAATTGACGCAATTTAATATATTGGATGAGCATACAAGGTGTAAACCAATACGCATAAAGTTAAAAATGAATCGCATGACGAATTCACCCAAACTCAAGGAGACTCCACCAAGTTTCTACTCCCAAAAATGCCAATACCTCCAGCAATTTAGAAAGGGGGGAAAAAAACCAACAAAGCTACATTGCATAATACACCGATACATAAATCACATTACACAACCATCTCTCCCCTAGTAATTAACTTTTATGATTACTTCTATACAAACGACACAATTCAAGTTTTACATCAACACAAATCACATGACCAGCACCTCATATGGACCCATAGGAAGCATCCTCCCTCATAATCTCCACAAAGCCCGTCTCATGTACCTCACACTCATCCACTCCGAGGTTTAGGCCACTGGATATTGTGTCGATCTGTCGAATTCAAGCTTTTCTCATGGGGTTAACTCTTTCCATTAGAACTCCTGTGCATCCAAGTCAGGCTTGGACGGATAATCAAGGCCCTGTAAAACAGGCATCCTTCGCAAATCTTCTTCTGAATATGCGGGGATGAACCAATATTTTTTATCGGTTCCAAACACCTGATCCCCAGCCAATACAAGGAAAAAATAACTATGTCACTACAACTAGTATAAACATTCAATCAGGTGAGCCACGATAAGAATATTCATAGAAATTTTCTCCATAAAATAAAAGTACTACTAGAAATACAAGATTGTAATTTTTCAAAAAACAAAATGATCAGTTAAACTGTCGATGGAGTCAGGAACTTAATCAGAGAAAAGACGAGATTTAACATAAGAACCATCACAGAAACATTCGTGTGGTTTCAAATGCTAATTTGTCTAGATATTATCTGTCTAATAATTGACAAATAAGTAATCACTAAAGAACTTTTATAGTTATGATCCTGTGCAAAGGTTTTGCAATATGAAAATCTCACTTGGGCACTTGCCCAAGCTGCAATCAGTATTAGCTCCGTCGACGATGACGTTCATGCAGCATGAACAGTGAGCTTAGAAGAGGCATATATCATGGCTAAGAAAGAAATAATACAAAATGACATTATGAAAAACCAAGCAAAGCTGGCACCTAAAAAGTCCACGTCTAACATTGCCGGGAAATGCTATACGTCCTACTTTTTTTGGTACTACTTCTGTACTCAAGTGAATCACAAAAGTAGAGACCCTTTTATTTTGCCTTGACACCAATGAATCAATGATAAGACAGAAGGACCACTGTAGTAGTAAAGCAGTACAACTAATGCAGAACAGTTAACAGTATCCAACATTGTCCTTTCTACCAGATAAACTGTCAAAAAGGTGCTACTTGTCTCTCTTCAGCAAGCAAGAGGCATCAAAGATACTACTAGCATAGGAAAGAAACACAAACCTGTTCAAAATTCTTTCTTCGCCCAAGATCATACCGCCACTTTGGGGTGGTTTTCTTCTCATATGCCTGATTACAGAAAGAAAAATTGTAAAAATTGCAAACATACAAGGAAAATGCAAATAACGAATGAGAATTTGCACAGAACTTGCCTCAATAGTCGTTGTATTCCCTAACACCAGTGAGATATGCATAATCATAAACCCAAGAACGCTTAGTGAAAATGCCAAATTCAACACTGACCAAAAGAGAAGATAGAATCACAATTAGATGTTGATGCTGTTTGGCAATAGAGTAAATCCTGGCAAGTGGGATACTTACCAAAGGTGAGAAAAGTGGTTGCAAGTGTTCCAGGAGTTCCAGGAATCTCCATATCATTGAAGAATGCAATAAAATTGGATAACAATGATACTGTAACAAGAGTCGTCTCTAGAAATGTGTAGAACTGCATGCAGATGAGTAAATGTCAGGTTTTTTAGAGAGCAACATTAAAGAAACCAAAGAATAAATTTAAATACAAAAGAGCTAATGTCAATTATGAACATTGCACGCTTTTAGAAAGGTATATGGAAATTGAAAACAAGCAATAACAACACAATGAAAGTATATATTGGCATAGCACAAAACAAGCAGTAACACCCCATCCGTCTCTCTGTCCTCTCGCTAGATCTTTCCCCCTCGAGGACTATGCTTCCTTCTCCCCTTAAAATAGTACATCATGTTTTTCTTCTCTAGTCCCAGTCCTCTAGCAGCAGGGCCCCATTATGATATTGGTGTGTTTCTAGGATGGCTATTGTTGATGTCAATCATCAAACAGGGGGTTATTTGAGAGTTTATGGAGTGATTAGGGTCCTCTAACTCCTTCTGATGAGTGATTCCAGGGTTCGCTATTTTTCCATGCACATGAAGGAAACTCGTAAGAGGGTGGAATTGGATTTCCGGTTGTTCCTTCGACAATCAAGTCAAGGGAAAGCATAGAGTTAGTTCTTAGTTACGTAAAAATAAACCAAAGAGAGTTACCTCGTACAGTGCCGCTCTTTTAATAGTGAGCTTGAGGAGCAAGAAGGTAACTTGGGCCGAGTCCAGCTAGGCAGCTGAGTTGGCAGACATGTGCCATGTGTTGGTTGTTGAAGGAGGTAAGTCACCTGGTCATTTATTATGGGAATGACAGCAGATGCTTGGTGCTGACTGAGTCCGATGAGTCGATGAGTCATAAAGACTATGGAAGCTAGAGCAATGATGACGTTGTTAGGGCAGTTAATGCGTGAGTAATCGGCTGGTGAGGGGGTTCGAGGTAACTGTCGTCCTTCGACACATCAGGTCTAGGGCCGAGAAGTACCGTCATTTGACTCGTTACGCGAGATATCAGCTGAAACAGAAGGCCGAGTTGGATCGCTTATGGAGTCAATTGAAGGGTTGGCCGAGTAGTACCGCCTTATGACTTGGCTACGCAAGCTGTCGGTCAATCAAGTCAGCCGTGCTGAGGCGGAGGTTATCTTGATCTTAAATTAGTCTTGTTTGGCATAGTGTAAGACATGTGTCGCCTTCTTCATGGAGATTGATATTTAGTAATTTAGGGGTCATAATAGCTATCCAACACCCTCTACATATCCAACTCTACAAAATCAACCTAAGGACCAATACAAACTTACAAACACATAAGGTACCAGAGCAGGAGTCAATATTTTTAATTTTGAAGAAAATCAGGTTTGAGATTCAGCGGGCTACACTAGGTACTTCTATTTTGTTTCGCTAAAGGCCCTAACCTTTGCTTTATTAATTAGCATTAATTTTATAAGCAAATATCTAATTGCACCTCTGGCCTTCTAACATAAATCTAATTCAAGTCTCTATGAAATATGTGGCCACGTCAAATACACAAAGATACACCTCACATATCACGCTCATGAGTGTATTTGAGGTAGACGTGCATCAGTCTGAAAGGTGTTAGTCACAATTTCCAATAGTGTACGATCAGTAAAGTTATCTCTCCATGAATGAAGCTTTATTTGAGGTGCCAGTTCATAGTTCAATGCTATAACTTCAAGAGCTCTTACCAAAGTGTTCTTACAGTATTACTGCACCACGTTTCTAACATCAAGGAAAGAGAAACTCCCGAAAAATGTAAATCTACGACAATCAAGTCCCATATTAGAGTTTCTAAATAGAGCCTATAACACCGATATAAATTTCAGTCAGTTGAAAAAAGTTCATATATCGCTTTTGTAATGTTATTTTGGAGAAGCTGAGGGGTGCTCTATGGTCAAATTTTATCTCCTGATTGAAATATGTTACATTGCAGTCACACTAAAACATAACCACGTATTAGACCAAGTCTAGGTCTCAGATAGATATGATAGCTTATCAAACGAAAAAAATCTTTTTGCATAGTTTCTGCCTATCAGAATATGGAACAAAGAAATATTGCTAAAGAAGCTTTACAAGAAATCCCCTATTGGGACATACTATTAAACCAAAATTGAGATTCTATGCAAAAATATGCTGAGAAGTTTATGAATGTCTACGCAGTGAGCTTTGATTTTAACAAGGATGATGAAAACGTGAACTTGCAACCTTTCATGCATTGGAGAGTCTGTTTCTTATTTTATCCAGAAGCAATTTATAAAACGCAAGCTACTATAGGCTCCAGGGAAGTTAATCCTCGAGATACTACAAGTACACTATCTGCAGCTATTTATCAATATCCTGTACTCTCAAACTATTATTAAAGAGTACAGGACTCGCTCTATATTTTAATTGTAACTATGTACCTTATAGTTAGGACAGTTAGATATCAAGTCACATGCTTTATGGTCGAACTAGCACATACACCTTAATATTACATTCCACGTGCAATTGGTCACAAGAACTAGTAAATAAGAAAATTTTAATGACATTTTAAGTTGTTACTAGAAATAATTAACAATTAACGCAAATGATATATAAAACTTTTCTTCACTGGAATATAATTATAAGCAGAATAAGACACACCGTTGATCTAGACAAACAAATGTCCCTAGAAATATTCTTGCATGTCAGCCTCTTCTACCAGGGTGTTCATAAGGCATTAGCCTATATAAGACTGGACTGACAGGTTTCAACCTTAATAGATGATTAGAAGCTCCACATCCACTTCTGTCAATTTCTGAGAAAAAGAAATCATTGATGCCATTAACTACGTAACAAGCTGTACACTTCCTTTCAAAATTATTCTTTTGCAACTTGACTCTCAATATTTTGTAATAAATAATTGAAAGACGCATTCTTTCAATCGATTAGAAAAAAGATATATTTGTAAGATTCTAGATACTATGAGAGAATGGAAGTCTCTGTCCATTAACAATTATACTGGATGATGAGTAGTTGTTTTTCAAAACGGAATGCTCAGATGAAATCTGAATAACTTTAAAAACTAAATGCTCAGATGAAATCTGAATAACTTTAAAAACTAAGAATCGCGATTTGGCACTTTATTCTGTTAGTATTTTCTACATTAACCTGATATATCCAATTGTTGGTTTGATCTTTCAGTCAATCTAAGACAGGGTCGCTATATTTCAGCCTTAGCTTACAAGCACCAGATGCATTTTAGCAAATTGTTAAATGAAAACTAGTTAATGCCATTAACTATGCAGCCAGCTGCACAATTCCTTTTAAAATTGTTCTTTCGCATCTCGACCTTATCTGATCCTTAATGCCGCTACAATATACATTGGGAAGATACAAAAATTTAGTAGATTAAAAAACATCACATATACTAGGAAAGGATATAAGCTTCTTTTCAGTCGTCAATACTATATTGGACAAATGGCGCATATCTTAAAATCAGTTCACATCAGCACATGCTCATATTCTAGGGAAGGATATAAGCCTCTTAATTTGCACTAGATTCTGTAGAGACTCCAGGCCTATTGGAAGAAGAAAACAGAACTCTACCATGAGTTCCACGCAGTGTTGGTAGGAATTGTTTTTATCTATTTTCTGTCATCTATTATTTTATCTTTTGCCCTCCACAGGTTGAGAACGCCTGCTAATCATGATCTTTGTGGTTGATTTTTTTTTAATACTCCCCATTGACGGGCCAAAAATAATGTCAATGGTGATACGAGATCTTTGTGGTTGATTTTTTTTTAATACTCCCATTGACGGGCCAAAAAATAATGTCAATGGTGATACGAGGACAACCTTCAATTCAAATTATCAAGATGTCACCTTTATAGTGGGTTTTGATAGGTTTTATAAAGAGGGGTGGGGACATAATAGGAAGGTTATAATGTTAATCCAGAGAGACAGAGAGAGAGACGTTTGCTCACAATTTTTAACTAGTAAGGCGAAGGGAGGGGAGGGATAAAAAGAAGCAAATTTGTCCACTTTCTTAACTTTCCTAAAGCGGATGGACTAGGTGGGGAGGGATTGGGTTTTAAGTAAAATTTTCTTTAACTCCCAAATTTTTCCGTCTTAAGTAAAACTTGTTTTTCTATAATAATTAAACCTCCCCCTTATGCTGCAAACTTCAGCGGACTTTTCAATGAAAGATACAAAAACCTTATTGCATATCCTTTGCTTTGTTTCACACAACTATTGCAAAGTATTGAACAACAAAGCATATTTGTTTAGAAATTTCATCTCTCAACTCATCAATCAGCAAGCCTTCTCTCGGTTCTGAAACATATTAATGGCATTTCAAAGGGAAAGGAAAATCCTAAAGAAGTCTCATGCAAATCACATAAGATGATAGTTGTAGATACGATGAAGTTTAAGACTAAGGTTAAGATTAAATGCGTTGCATTATTGAGACAAAACAAATGTATTGCGTTATAAATAGTGTTATTTTCACTTTGCTACCACAAATTTACACACTTTTTCACTTTGATACCCCCAAAATATCTTCTAAACACTTTGAAATGCTAAAGTTTCAGTTCCATTTCACTTTAATACGACCTCAAAGTATTTTTTTTTCCAACTTTTTGATCCTTCAAAGCTTCAATTTGATCTCTTCAAAAGGGCAAATTAGTCATGTAGCTTCCCTTCTCTTCCCAACACATCCTATTATCATAGTCTACCTTCCCTTCCCTTTGTCATCTATCCAGACACAATTAATTTCAGCCTATCCCCTCCCTCTCCATTCCCTCCCATTGGGTACTTTACTTCAATCATCCCCTCCCCTATGGCCCTCTGCATCCAAACCCACTGTTAAAAAAACATCAAAAAGCTAATATAACATTAACGAGCTATATATTATAAAAGAGAAGTAATAAAAACATGAAAGAAATGACATCTGAGGAGGAGGAGAGAGAGGGGGCAAAGATCTACAGTGAGCCTAACAAAGAGGATACTACAGAATGCAATGTGCAATGAATCCTTTAAGAAGTTCAAAGGGCTGAAGCTAAAGATTCAGCAAACCGTTTGCATAGCCATGGGGGGAAATCCAAGTGGTCAGATTAAGACTAGAAGTTTTAATGGCTATGGTTTGATTTATAAGCACTTCCAGAAACTAATAGAGCCGGTCTCAAAAGATTACGCAGGGATAAGCAGTAATTAGTTAAAGCTAAATGTTGCTATATCAACGTAATCTATTCCATAATCATTCCTGTCAATTGCAAACTAAAGATATGCAAATGCAAAGAGTAAGATAGTACAGAATGAAAGGAATGAAAGTAAATGATAGCCAAAACACTTACCAGAAAAAGAAGAAAGTACTTATAATTTAAAGCTCCAACACAGTTTACAACCCACACGCAATGGTGATCCATTTTTAGCACGCACCTTCCACCTATGACCATTAATATAAAGTATCAAGCCAAATATGGTGAGCAATTCAATGATAATATGAGCATCAAGGAAGCATAAACATAACATAGTTGGACGCAATAGCATACAAACAGAACAGTGATGGCAGCGAGGTGGCTTTAACTGGTTGCACTTCCTGCAGTATCTAATCCTCGAATTTCCTGAGTCTGCAAGACTTGACACTTGTTGTGAGCTTAAGATGGGGTTATTAAACTCTGAACTAGTCAACGCAATAGTCTCTCCACTCTCCTCGTCCACCGTAGTAGGCCTCCAATTTGGTGGAACGGTGCCAGGGTCGGTGAAGACCACCGAGAAGTAACTCCACAGGAGCAGTCCCAACTATAAAAATAAAATATTTAGAAGTATTCAGATGCGAGGCTTTATACAATGAGGAAAAAGACCATAAGAGCATTCAAAACTCCAGTTCCACTTGTTAACCCTTTCCTTCATTCTCATCAGTGAAAGTGTTATGATTTAAGGTCATATAAAGAAGTTATTAAGAAGCTCGTAAGTCATGTTAATTTGCTAGGCTGCATTAGCTACAGGTCTAGAACAATCTAGGAAGTTTGTTACTTCAATGTGAGAAAGACAGCAGAAGACACAGAATTGCTCAGAATCTTAAACAAATGTCAAAGCTTATAAAGTAAAAAAGAAGAAGACAAATTTCTGGATTTTTGTGTTGTTTTAGAACATAGGTCTGATATTATCCATTGTTTGGTTGCTTGCAAGGAGCTAATCCCATGAGTAAGCAGCCGCCAAAAAAGAGGAAATATCCGTCAAATTGCAACCAACCAAATTCCAATAAGTCGGACCTTTTTTTGTATGACACCTCAATAATTAATAACTAGGTATGGTAATTAACCATAACAATTTACACGATCTTCCAGCCACAGGTCTACTACACAAAAAAAGAAATAAAAGAGAGAGAGAGAGAGAGATTACTTATAAAGCAAATTCATGGCACTGAAAGCAAGACAAAAGAGGGAAACTGCAGATAAAAAGGAAGATACCATAACTGGAACTACTGCCAACTATAAGTCACGGAAATATTATGACTCTTACGATAAACAACACAAGTCACAAACAGATGAAGCTACCCGGTGATAACACGAAAAGAGAGCGCGCGCTGCTGTTAGATCCATTTGTCACGATTTTTTGGAAACTGTCCAAGTTTGTAGTGTTAAAATAGTACGACGTTATTATTACACCTAATATTACTCGGAGCACATTTCCTATAGTTACATATTTCCAACATAAACCAATTAAGAGTAAACACAAGGTATCAACTACTATTAACGAACACGCATGCAGTAACAACTAACATTATTAATCATTGCCAAACCGTTCATAACATGTGAAAACAAGCAAAAACGCTCCCTTTCCAAGACAAACCAGCTAGACGTAGATCAATCTTTCCACACGAAAATTTTAAAACCCCCAAATCTAACTGACTAGTAAAGTGCATTTTCCTCAGAAATCAAACCCGCGGCATCCAGCTCACAGCCTGAAAAAGATCCACAAACCGATGGGGGAGAATCACTAACCAGCCCGTGAAAGAGGAGAACGAGCACGACGGCGATGACGGAATCGAGGCCGCCCGCCGCCGAAGAGGGCGGGGCCGTAATTAGTGATAACGACGGCGTAGTAGGTAACTCCGACGATGGCGAGGACGAGCAGGATCATGACGGATCCCAACCCCCGAAGCGCGGTGCAGAACTTGAAGACGTTCCACGCCATCACCGCCCCCGATCTGTGCATCACTGAAAGACGGATCCGATGGATTTGGGGATCAATTGATCGATTGGTCGACAGATTGATCGATCGATTGGTTGATTTCTAGGGTTTTAAGAGAGAGAAGGGGGGGAGGATTTTTGAAAGAGGAGAGAGCTTTTTGGGGGATTGAAATCCCTCCGTGAGCGGAGGAGAAGAGGTCTTTTTCTTTCTCTCTCTCCCCCCTTCCTGCTTTATTTATAATTAAATTGAAATTGATTAACAAGTTAAAAGGTAGTTGGTGGCTTTGGGTCGGAGTTTAAAAGTGGACTCGTTCGGACAAGGTCACCGCCCGGTCCACGACGTCCGGTCTCGCCCCGTCTTCTTAACAGCAGAAAATCAATGAAAATCTCACGCGGATAATTTCTTTCTTTCATGTGTACGTCTTTTACTGAAAAATATTAATTTGGCGGATGTGGATAGCCAGTAAAATATTAAGATAATTTTATTTTGATTTTCAAAAAAAGGCTTGAACAAAGTTGTTGCGTTACACAGGTAGTTAAATTTATAGCAGGGAAAAATGCTTCCCGCCCTCCAAAACGAAAGAAAACGTGCTTCCCCCTCCCAAGACTTTTTCAATGGGTGCTTTGCCTCCAAAAATAAACTTTGTGTGCTCTGAGCCCCCAAAACACAAAACCCAAGAGATTTAAATTCGTGAAGACCATAATACCCTTCTCTATCTCTCTCTATCTTTTATATCTGTTATGTTTTGAAAGAGTTTCCTCCGTCAATCCCAACGAAGAAGCTCGACCTCCGTCAATCCCCGCTTCCGCCGTCGCCGCCGTCGTCGAAGCTCCGTCAATCCCCTCGCCGTCGAAGCTCCGTCAATCCCCTCGTCGTCGATTTCGTCGGAGGCGTTTGTGTTCTACGAGGCGATGTTGAGCGAGGGAGTAAACTTAAGCAGGGGAGGGATATAGGGTTATGGAACAAGGGCAGCATGGAATTTTGGCTGATGAACAAGCATATGAGGTTCTTGGCGAGGTTTTTCACTGTTTGTTTAGTGACTGAGAGGAGGGATATGGTGAATCGGCTTGCTGGGCAGCTTAAGGGGCTAGTTGATGAGTGCAAGAAGAATTTTCAGGTAAAAGATTGTGTGAAAATTGAAGCATTTGAAGGGATTGAGGAGGTGGAAGAAGGAAGTGGGTCATGTTAGTGATTTTAATCTTGTTTTTTTGTTTTTTTGAAGGGTTAATTGTTGGGTAATTTCCTTTTTCTTACTAATTTTTTGTAAGATTCAGAAACATATATAGCAATGTATGATATAGTAGGCAACTTTTGTGTGAGTAAAATTGATCTGTAGTGGTCTTTGCTCAACATCTCCCCCCTCATGGCTTCAACTTGAAGTCTTGGTTTACGCATTGGTTGTGAAGATTGCGGGTTGCTAGTTAAGGTTATGGGTTGAAGCCATGAGGGGGAGAGGGTAGGTTGTTAAGATTAAGCTTGGTTGTTAAGGTTAGAGTCAGTTATTAAGGTTATGGGTTGTGAAGATTACGCGTTGGTTGTTAAAGTTAGGATTAATTGTTAATGTTACTGGTCAATTGTTAATGTTATGGGTCAGTTGTTAAGGTTACAGGTTGGTTGTTAAGGTTACGAGTTAGTTGTGAAGGTTACATGTGTGACGCCCCTGGGTTCACACAAGGCTGCAGTCCAAGGTGAAACCAGAGATGTCAAACCTGCCATGCACCCGCACTGTGCATAAACATGTTTCACCAATCACAGTAATATCCTCTAGTAGAACCAAATAGAAGTGCAGGTACAAATAGGCAAAATAAAGGGAATCAACTAAGAATCGTACTAAAGCACACTGCCTTTACAATATGAATATGAAACTCTAATGTCTGGATAAAACTCAAAACTACAGTGGAGTCTCTACAAGTAAAAATACGCGACGGTGACTATGCTAGAACTCCGTCACCCTGCAGCTCTCCAAAACTCCGAACTACCTGAAAAGATATCTAAAAGAAAAAGAATAACAACAAGAACATCAGAGCGCTACAGCAAAATTACCTCCATCCGCCCCCAGGGAAAGGGCTACTAGATGGAGTGAAGATTCTATCTATTAAGCATAGTCTACCTAGATTCATTTCCATGTATCTAAGTAGGATTAATAAGAGCGTCAGAGCGCTACAGCAAGATTCCCTCGATCTGTGCATCACTGAAGACGGATCTGATGAATTTGGGGATCAATTGATCGATTGGTCGACAGATTGATCGATTGATTGATTGATTTCTAGGGTTTTAAGAGAGAGAGGGGGAGGATTTTTGAAAGAGGAGAGAGCTTTTTGCGGGATTGAAATCCCTCCGTGAGCGGAGGAGAAGAGGTCTCTCTCTCTCTCTCTCTCTCTCTCTCTCTCTCTCTCCCCCCTCCAGCTTTATTATAATTAAATTGAAATTGATTTAACAAGTTAAAAGGTAGTTGGTGGCTTGGGTCGGAGTTTAAAGCTAGACTCGTTCAGACAAGGTCGCCCCCCGTCCACGACGTTCGGTCTCGCCCCGTCTTGTTAATAGCAGAAAATCAATAAAAATCTCACGCAGATAATTTCTTTCTTTCATGTGTACGTCTTTTACTGAAAAATATTAATATTAATTTGGCGGATGTGGAGAGTCAGTAAAATATTAAGATAATTTTATTTTGATTTTCAAAAAGGCTTGAACAAAGTTGTTGCGTTACATAGGTAGTTAAATTTATAGCAGGGAAAAATGCTTCCCGCCCCCAAAACGAAAGAAATCGTGCTTCCCTCTCCCAAGACTTTTTCAACGGGTGCTTTGCCCCAAAAAGTAAACTTTGTGTGCTCTGAGTCCCCAAAACACAAAACCCAAGAGATTTAAATTCGTGAAGACCATAATACCCTTCTCTATTTCTCTCTTTTATATATGTTATGTTTTGAAAGAGTTTCCTCCGTCAATCCCAGCGAAGAAGCTCGACTCCGTCAATCCCCGCTTCCGCCGCCGCCGCCGTCGTCAAAGCTCCGTCAATCCCCTCGCCGTCGAACCTCCGTCAATCCCCTCATCGTCGATTTCATCGGAGGCGTTTGTGTTCTACGAGGCGATCTTGAGCAGGGAGTAATTTAGAGGGGAGGGATTAGGGTTATGGCAAGGGCAACAAGAATTGGGGCTGATGAACAAGCAGATGAGGTTCTTGGCGAGGTTTCTCACTGTTTGTTTGGTGGCTGGGAGGAGGGATATGGTGAATCGGCTTGATGGGCAGCTTAAGGGGCTAGTTGATGAGTGCAAGAAGAATTTTCAGGTAAAAAATTGTGTGAAAATTGAAGCATTTGAAGGGATTGAGGAGGTGGAAGAAGGAAGTGGGTCATGTTAGTGATTTTAATCTTGTTTTTTTTGTTTTTTGAAGGGTTAATTGTTGGGTAACTTTCCTTTTTCTTACTAATTTTTTGTAAGATTCAGAAACATATATAGCAATATATGATATAGTAGGCAACTTTTGTGTGAGTAAAATTAATCTGTGGTAGTCTTTGCTTAACATCTCTCCCCCTCATGGCTTCAACTTGAAGTCTTGGTTTACACATTGGTTGTGAAGATTACGGGTTGCTAGTTAAGGTTATGGGTTGAAGCCATGAGGGGGAGAGGGTAGGTTGTTAAGATTAGGCTTGGTTGTTAAGGTTAGAGTCAGTTGTTAAGGTTATGGGTTGTGAAGGTTACGCGTTGTTTGTTAAAGTTACGAGTTAATTGTTAAGGTTACCGGTCGATTGTTAATGTTATGGGTCAGTTATTAAGGTTACAGGTTGGTTGTTAAGGTTACGAGTTAGTTGTGAATGTTACAAGTTAGGATATATATGTATATATATTTTGAGTGACATGTATACTTTAGGCCACTTGGCCTAGTGATAAAGTTTGGGAGGTTGGACAAGAGGTTAGGAGTTCAAACCCCTATAGCCACAATATATATTTAAGGGTCTTTGATGGGCCTTGGGCCTTAGGACTCTTTGAATTCTAAATATATTTTTAGAATATTCGTTGTTAAGGATAATGGTTGGTTGTTAAAGTTACACTTTGGTTGTGAAAGTTACAGGTTGATTGTTAAAGTTAGGCGTTGGTTGTTAAGGTTACGCGTTTGTTGTTAAGTATAAGCGTTGGTTGTGAAGATTACGTATTTGTTGTGAAGGTTACGAGTTGGTTATTAAGATTACTGGTTGGTTGTTAAGCTTACGAGTTTGTTGTGAATGTTACGCTTTGGTTGTAAAGGTTACGCTTTGGTTGTGAAGTCTTTGAATTCTAAATTTTTTTATAATATTCGTTTTTTATTTTTTTAGCTCTTCAATTGCCTAATATTTTTGTTTATGAAAATTCACCTATTACGCGTTAGTTGTTAAGGTTACAGGCCCGTAACTTAACAATCAACCCGTAATATTATCAACCAACGCGTAACATTCACAACCAAACCGTAACCTTAACAACCAAACTGTAACCTTAACAACTAACATGTAACTTTAACAACCAATGCGTAACATTAACAATTGTAACCTTAACATATCGAGCGCCTTCATCCTGGACACGGTGTCGATCATCTCAATGCTCCTCAGCCTCTTAACCCTAGTATCCCTAAAAGGCTTATCATGCCCACATGAGCTCATCACGACCTTGGCCTCCATCATGTTTGGATCCATGCACGACTGGGTGTCGTGGTTCATTGACACCAACGCCTAGTTCATCATGACCCCCCGACCCTCCCGTTCTTAATTATCAAATCCTCCGCCACCGCCACGTTGAACAGCTTCCCGTTAGGCCGCATCAGCAGCTTGCTCATGATGGTGGAGGTGAAGAAGGCGGCGTGCTTGATGACGATGTAATCCTCCTGCTCATCGTAGGAGATCTCGAGCTCGTCAAGTAAGAGGTGGGCGGGTTAGCGGATGACCATGGCAGAGAAGAGCTGGCCGCCGAGCCAGGCGCCGCCGCCGGGGGAGACAGACTGCTCGATGATGGCGATGTTGATGTCAGGGTTCTTGGAGAGCTCGTAGGCGTAGGAGAGGCCGACGGATCCG